ACATCCGTTTAAGGCGAAACGGATGTCGACATCCGTTTTGTGATGTCACACTGTTTTATAAACGAAGGTTCGAGAAGGTGGGTTTAAGCACACATTAGAAACAGACAGAGGAAGTAGAAAGCCAAATCAAAACCAGTGGGCGTTTCGTAGAATCCTCATTGCTCTGAAAACGACAAACCGAGATTTAAAAAACGCCCACATTTTCACTTTCAACTCTTTTATTACATTGCATAAATTTCAACACTCTTCTCAGATTGCCCACCGAAAAAGCCTTTCACCATGGTTTCTAGCCGTTTCGTGTCGCTCTTTCTCTGTTTCCTCTGTTTTGAGATCTCTGTTTCCTCCATTCGGTTGCCTGGTGTGGACCAAGAAGCCAAGGCCACGTAATGATGATGATAATTTTATTTCTGAATGCACTTTTGCCATATGGGTATCTCTCTGCCCGTGAATGAGTTTAAAATTTTACATTTTTTTATGTTTTGGTTTGTGGGTGTTTGTTTTCAGCCATGGATCGGGGCTTGGGTTGAACAAAGGAGTCTGTTCAGTGAAATTTGATCCCACACGGGTCACTCAGCTCTCATGGAATCCCAGGTTTGACCTTTTCCTTTGTTAGACAAATGGGTCGATTTTATTTTCTTTTGTTGTTGAACTTTTGTGAATTATGTCATGCAGGGCTTTTCTGTACAAGGGATTCTTGAAGGAGGAAGAATGCGACCATGTGATAGCTCTGGTTAGATTTAGTTTTTGATCTTAGTCCTTATACTTTTAAAACAATGACTGGATTTTGGTCTTGGTATTTTTTGTAATCGATGCATTTTGATCTTATTTTCTATAATTGTTGAATTCCGTTCGTCTTTTGTAAAGCATAGGAACTACGACCAATTTTGACCTTAAATTGAGGGAACTAAGGCATTTTTATCCTTTTGTTTTTATTATCAATACATTAGAAAAGGGTCTGCGACTGTGATCTAGGCTGCAACTTAATGGTTTTTTGGGATTTCTGTGACTGCAATCGCTTTGTGGTTGCTGAGGCTGCATTTGTCCGCAATTTATCGCAATATTAAGGGTTGTGACGAAATTGTGGCTACAATTTAAAACCTCTATCATTGGGTTTATGTGAGATTTTTTATGGGATTATACATCATATTTTGTTTTGTGTCTGATTTTTTGTGATATTAGGCCAAGGACAAGCTGGAGAAGTCTATGGTGGCAGATAATGAGTCTGGTAAAAGTATAATGAGTGAAGTCAGAACGAGTTCTGGAATGTTTCTGAACAAGGCACAGGTGTGATGAATCAAAATTTATTTTATGCTATGTGAAAACCTTCAATGCTTTTATTTGATTATGATTAATTATGTAGGTTATAGAGAAGTATGGTTGGTGAAGTTCTTTTTTCAAAATTTTTTGGCTGCAATTTTATATGAATACATCATGTTTTTTAATAATGCTAGATTGTGAGAAATGTTTTAGCAATTAGCTTGGAGATTTTGATGATAAGCATAAAATGTATAGATAGATTCTTGACTTGGAGGTCTGATTGATCTTAGGAAAACAAGTATAGATAGATTCTTAACTTGACTAAGTTAAATGGAAGTGTATGCAAAATTTGGATTGAATTATAACTACAATGAAGTGAAGATGTACAAAACCACAAGTTAATATGTGAATAGGGAGATGTGTGTGCTACAGAATGTTTGCACTCGCTCTTGCTAAATGCTAGAAATGGAATTTTATCTCTTGCACATCCACCTGTGACTTCTGTGTAGCTTTTTCTTTAGGAAAATGAGGTGGTGAACATGCTCAATGTCTGTTTGCTTGTTTGAGATGATTACAATCTAGGATAGACTTTGATACTATCTTGCATTTAAATGTTTAATGTGCATGCATGGAGGGCTGGTACCGTCAGTTCTACAGTGCTGTTATCAGAGGTTAATGGTTTACTCTTTCAGGGCATAAGAGTAACAAGTTAATAATTCTGTCTCATGACCAAATATATCCTTTGAAGTTATTGGGCAAGATCTGTCAAATCATGAGATTGAGATCCCGAGAGAACAAACTGGGGGTTAAAAAAATGATTTGAATCCTGTTTGCTGTTAACAGTAGAGGTTCTGTTTAATAAATAATAAATGTTTATTATGTTTATTACTTATTATATATGGTTGAAATATAAACTAGTAAATAAATCCACTGTCCCGCAAAATCAGACACATGTTTTCCATTTTTCTTTCATAGTTTTAGATGGTGTTTATTTCAATGGTAAGTAAAAAGCTTGAGGAATGGTTGAGAATGATTTATCAGAACCTGTCATGTTAACATCATATATAGGAGGGGGTCCAAATCCAAAAAGTAGACCACAAGCAAAGTGTGTAGAGCCCATAAGCTACTTGAAAGAAAAAGTAGTCTGATGATTCATATTTTTTAAATAGCATTTATAGTTAGAGTGCCTATACGAATCTAATATAGTTGTCGATGGTAATTCACCTCTCCTCTCAGAATCATCTACTACTGATTGTTGGGAAAATTAGCATAATTTCTTTGCAACTTTTTTATTTCAATTTGATGAGCTGAAATTTATTTTAACAGAGCTTTGTGACACTTGCATTTAGCTATTGATTTCCTCTTTTTTCTATATTTGATCTTTTAAGGATGAAACAGTTGCTGATATTGAATGCCGAGTTTCTGCATGGACATTCCTTCCTGTAGGTTAGTAAACAATATCATTCTTTGATCCAGTTCAGTATTTGCTTTTCTTTTCTTTAATATAAACGTATATCCATTGCATCAGAGAATGGTGAGTCAATGCAAGTATTGCACTATGAGAATGGTGAGAAGTATGAACCACACTTTGATTACTTCCATGACAAAGCTAATCAAATTATGGGTGGCCATCGGATTGCTACTGTATTGATGTATCTGTCTAATGTTGAGAAGGGTGGGGAAACAATTTTTCCCAATTCTGAGGTAAATATTTTCTCATGGCTTTGATTCTCTGATGTTTCATTCTGAATCCCTTCCCTCAATCAAAAAGAAAAATTGAAATCATGATCAATTATTTTTCATTTTCAGGGAAAGTTGTTTCAGCCAAAAGATGATACCTGGTCCGAATGTGCTCACAAAGGATATGCAGGTATATATATTTGGATGCCTTTACAAAATATTAGCAGTTTTTTTTATTCGACTTAAATGTTTTTTATTTTGAACTACATCAGAGAAACATTCCTGGAGGTCTCTGGTGTATAATATCATGTGGTGTACATAATTTCACATTCTCCTTCTTAGTACGATGAATGTTGCAGTCTCATATGCAGAGACTCATTGTTTTTAGGGCTTATGAAAATAGTTTGTGGTATAATTTTTAGCTTATTTGAATAACCTTCTTAGAGAAACTTATCAACACGAGCTCTCAAGTTTCATGATGTAAGCTCATGTGACAAACACACTTCCAGTAGGCTTGGGCTTTTCCTTTTTCTAGTAACAGTACAGTAGTATTTGGCTTAGTCATTACTCTTTAAATAGGACCATTGAATTAGTAGTTTGCAGTATATCTTATTTTCTCTTACTAGATCCTATAATTTCAACATATATAAAATATCAATTTGGTCCTTTCTCACTAAAGTTGAAACAGGTGAGGCAAATGAATATTTCCCCTATAATTGTAATAATTATAACGGAGTTTTTTGCTTAGCTGTTTCATTTGGTATTTACTAACTTGGTTAAAATCATATAGGTTATGTGTGACTTTGTAGAGACATCTTTCTTTCTCTTGCCATCAAAATTGCCATGTGACTGTTAATATTTCACACACTAAGAATTCAATGGTTTTCAGTACTGAATGAACTTAACTATTCTTATCCTTGATATTTCAGTGTCACTATTATTTTAATCTCACCCATAAATCTAACAATTTTTTTGTCTTTTCAGTAAAACCTCGTAAGGGTGATGCCTTGTTGTTCTTCAGTCTTAATCTTGATGCAACTACTGATAGCAATAGCTTGCATGGAAGCTGTCCAGTCATTGAGGGTGAAAAGTGGTCTGCAACCAAGTGGATTCACGTTAGTGACTTTGAAAAACCTGTGAGATCACTTGAGAGTACTGGAGACTGTGTTGATGAGAACGAGAATTGCTATAGGTGGGCTAAAGTAGGTGAATGTGAGAAGAATCCACTTTATATGGTTGGAGGTGAAGGAGTCAAAGGAAAGTGCATGAAGAGTTGCAATGTCTGCTCNTTTCAACATATATAAAATATCAATTTGGTCCTTTCTCACTAAAGTTGAAACAGGTGAGGCAAATGAATATTTCCCCTATAATTGTAATAATTATAACGGAGTTTTTTGCTTAGCTGTTTCATTTGGTATTTACTAACTTGGTTAAAATCATATAGGTTATGTGTGGCTTTGTAGAGACATCTTTCTTTCTCTTGCCATCAAAATTGCCATGTGACTGTTAATATTTCACACACTAAGAATTCAATGGTTTTCAGTACTGAATGAACTTAACTATTCTTATCCTTGATATTTCAGTGTCACTATTATTTTAATCTCACCCATAAATCTAACAATTTTTTTGTCTTTTCAGTAAAACCTCGTAAGGGTGATGCCTTGTTGTTCTTCAGTCTTAATCTTGATGCAACTACTGATAGCAATAGCTTGCATGGAAGCTGTCCAGTCATTGAGGGTGAAAAGTGGTCTGCAACCAAGTGGATTCACGTTAGTGACTTTGAAAAACCTGTGAGATCACTTGAGAGTACTGGAGACTGTGTTGATGAGAACGAGAATTGCTATAGGTGGGCTAAAGTAGGTGAATGTGAGAAGAATCCACTTTATATGGTTGGAGGTGAAGGAGTCAAAGGAAAGTGCATGAAGAGTTGCAATGTCTGCTCTTCTTAAAGAGTCTGTTACCTTTTCTTCTTTGCACTTAAATGCATGTAGAAACATACTACATTGTGAAATATAATGTATATATATATATATAACATTCATTTTGTTGTGAACTATAACCATGAATTCTGCCAGTACATTTCATTCTGTTTTCTTAGAACACAAAGGATTTAATTTTTAGCCATATTTTAATGGTCAAAGATAAAACTGGATACACCATTCTCTGTCTAGAGGGTGTTTTTATTGCCTGATACCGCTTTTCATGCATTTTGGATATATGTTGTGTTTGAGTAGAACTTGATTAAGTGCCTATAGACAATTGATTATCATTGTTTGAGTTGTTTTAGTAATCAAAGGTGAAATAAGATGAAGTTATATTATAAGATATTTTTATAAACTATTATAAGGAGTTAACTGAAATACTTTGAAAAGAAGTTTTGATTAAATTATAAACTATTTTTATGTACTCAATCATACTTTTACTGTTTCTGTTGTTCTCACTGCACTTCCGTAAAAATATTCTTGTTTGAAAGTACTCACAGTTGAGTCTTTTACCATGAATAGAACAATATAAAGAATGGACTTTAATGAAGTGATAGTCTATGAGAACTGAAATGATATTATAAGTGTTTTGCTTAAGAGAAATAGGACAAAATAAGGATATAGTAATGAATAAAAATAAGCTAAAAATAGAGTGTAAAAGAAATAGACAAATATAATTCCTCGTAAGAAATTGAAATTGTTTTACGTGTAATTAAGTTTTAAGTTTATACATCAATTTTATCTAACTTTTAATTTATTGAATTCTCAAATATTTTATATTTTTTATTAAGTTTTTATTGTTTAATTTTTTTATTCAATAATTTATGTGATTTTTTTAGAAAAATAAAAACAGTTAAATTTTAAAATTTAATTAAAAAAATGAAAAAAAATTAAGTATTTAACAAATTAAAAAGAAAAGATTCAATTAAAAATATACAAATTTATCAAAGATTTAAAATTTGATTAATTCTATTTCTTATCACAACTCTTCAACTTTTTGGATTCTAAGAAAAAATAAATTATTTAAATAATTAATCTAATGTATAATTAATTGTTGTTATTATTACACTCTATCATAATTATGTTTTGTATATAAGAAAATGGCAACATATTATATATATATATATATATATGTGTGTGTGTTATATATTGCATTTTTTTAATATTTATGAAAACAGTTTAATTTTGAGTTTAAGTGATGCCAAAACATTTAATTTATTTTAGAAAAACTTTTTTTTTTCATATAAAAATCAGGAAGTGACAAAATAAAATCAGTCATAATATGGATGGGATAGCTTTGATGAATAAAATTTAGGTTTAATCCTTTTCGACATCCCTATTTGTGTACGAATGTCTGAGATAGGTCCTAGTTTTCTAAAGTGTATCAAAATAGTCCTTAATTTTGAAAATTGATATCAATTGAGTCCTTCCCGTTAAGTTGGCTGGACGGCGTTAAAAAAATTGATGAGTGGGATGCTGAGATGACGAACGAACGCTCGTCCACCAGCGAACGAACGCTCGTCCATCAGCGAACGAATGCTCGTCGACCACCGAACGAACGGTCGTCCAGTGTGGAACGAACGGTCGTTCAGCAGTAAGAGGTCGACGAGCGTTCGTTCTCTGGTGGACGAGCGTTCGTTCTCTGGTGGACGAGCGTTCGTTTGCTGGTGGACGAGCGTTCGTTCGTCATCTCAGCATCCACTCATCAATTTTTTTAACGTCGTCCAGCCAACTTAACGGAAAGGACTCAATTGATATCAATTTTCAAAATTAGGGATCATTTTGATACACTTTAAAAAACGAGGACCCAATTGAGACATTCGTACATAAATAGGGATGTCGAAAAGGATTAAACCAAAAAACAATTATCAAACATTCAAAAGAAATATTCTTTATTGATAATTATAGATAAAAGAATTTAATTAAACAAATATACTCCTATATTCAAATAAATTAAATTTTATAATATAGATGATGAAATCTTAATTTCCTATTTTTTAATCATAATTTATATTTTTTTCCTTCACAAGATAAATGTATATTTCATCTTCTTAATTATTTAATATTTAAAACATATTATCAAAATTTAAAAATTCTCAAACCACAATTTAGCTAATTTATTTATACATAGAGACACACACACAATTTCTTTCCTCTCACCACACCTTAAGCATGGGAGAAAGACGTGGTTGGACTCTCAAGATTGTCCACTTCTCAAAATTGACTTCTGAAACCGAAAACATATTAAAAAATAATTTCATTTTGATTGAGAGCATAAATAAAAGAATCAAATTTCTAAGTTACAAAAAATGTTCCTGTTCATTTATTTTTTAATCCAAACATCCATTTGATAAAATATAGGGTTAAATTAAATTAAATGTTTAGAATATAAAACCATATTAAATTAAAATAGATGAATAAATAGCGATTTAACCTTAGAAAGACTACATATAACAATAACAATATATTATTACAAACTGGTAAAACATGTTTTTTTTTACGTGTTGATGCGGTAAACGAAGGTTCGAGAAGGTGGGTTTAAGCACACATTAGAAACAGACAGAGGAAGTAGAAAGCCAAATCAAAACCAGTGGGCGTTTCGTAGAATCCTCATTGCTCTGAAAACGACAAACCGAGATTGAAAAAACGCCCACATTTTCACTTTCAACTCTTTTATTACATTGCATAAATTTCAACACTCTTCTCAGATTGCCCACCGAAAAAGCCTTTCACCATGGTTTCTAGCCGTTTCGTGTCGCTCTTTATCTGTTTCCTCTGTTTTGAGATCTCTGTTTCCTCCATTCGGTTGCCTGGTGTGGACCAAGAAGCCAAGGCCACGTAATGATGATGATAATTTTATTTCTGAATGCACTTTTGCCATTTGGGTATCTCTCTGCCCGTGAATGAGTTTAAAATTTTACATTTTTTTATGTTTTGGTTTGTGGGTGTTTGTTTTCAGCCATGGATCGGGGCTTGGGTTGAACAAAGGAGTCTGTTCAGTGAAATTTGATCCCACACGGGTCACTCAGCTCTCATGGAATCCCAGGTTNCAACTTAACGGAAAGGACTCAATTGATATCAATTTTCAAAATTAAGGACCATTTTGATACATTTTAGAAAACGAGGACCTATCTCAGACATTCGTACACAAATAGGAATGTCGAAAAGATTAAACCTAAAATTTACTAGAAAGGATAAAAAAACCTTTTGTTAAGACTTTCCTCTTCTCTTTGGAACACAAAGATATACCAAATACATTTATGTGTATGTGATACAAATGGAAGTATGATTACATGATAGCATTGTATTCATGGTAGCTCACAGGTTCACTTAAACAGCATTTATGTAGAGTAGAATTTATTTTTCATAATTTAGTGGTAATGATGCTTACACAGGCTCTCTGAGAATGAATCTATCTAGTGACAGGGTCTATGTGTACTTTTTCATTATTGTTTTGTCTTAAGCAAAGATTTTGTACTATTAAGAGGCCAATCAACTATAAGATGAAAGAATTTGGATTGCATTACCAAATTAAATAAGTTAATGTTGTCAGTTCTAACCAAAGAGGTCATTCAAATTGCACCCGAAATAGATATTGCTTTTGGGAGAGGAAGGAATTGGGAAGGCACTTGCATTATGTTTCTGATGTCATACAAATGGTTTTAGTTTTAAATTTTTGTTTACAGAAAGATGAACATAATCATGCAATTGTTGTTATTAGGAGCCAATATTTGCATGCTTTTCTTGCCTCTTCATATCTTAAACATTAGCCCCTTTCACCACTTTAAAGTTACCCTTCAATGCATATTGCATCACCATTACATAATTCACTCTGCATTTCTGCTTTTTCTTCTGTCTCTCTTTTCACAAAAAATGGGAAGGCCTCCTTGTTGTGACAAATCCAATGTGAAAAGGGGTCTTTGGACTCCTGAGGAAGATGCTAAAATACTTGCCTATGTAGCCAATCATGGAACTGGAAACTGGACATTGGTTCCAAAGAAAGCAGGTTTCTTCTACCCTTTTCTTTCCAAACAATGTAGGAATAGGAATTTAGAGACATAACTATGTTATGATGCAACTTTACTCTCTTTTCTTTAATTGTTTGCAGGTCTGAATAGGTGTGGTAAAAGTTGCAGACTAAGATGGACCAACTATCTAAGACCTGACCTCAAGCATGATAGTTTTACTCCCCAAGAAGAAGAGCTCATTATTAACCTTCATGGCGCCATAGGAAGCAGGTATCTTCCACTCTATATATTTGCTAAAATGCTTCAATGGCCTCAGTGCATTCTAAAATTTCAGTTTAGTTTCTGTATAAAGAGCTTATCTGTCATCATTTTTTGTATTTTAAGTTTTTAACTACATGTATAATTAGAAGTCTGAGATAAGATTAATTTATAATATAGAATAAATACAAATTTTATTTTATAAGTTAATTTCATAAGATTAAATTAGACTTAAAACATACTTTTTAGCATGTATCAGAGTGTATCCTAACATAAGTTATTTCATCACGAGTTAAGTAAATTTCTTAACATGTCATTCACCTAATGATTTATTAAAGGGGATTTAATTTCTAAAATGATAATAGTTAATTCCAAGCTGTCTAATCACACTATAGGGTGCGATGCAATTTAGTAAATTCTGTTTTTATGATATAGCTATTAGCCTCACAAAGTAAGCAAAATTAGCATGACAAAACTTAATGCACTTGCTGGTATATGTTGCATGAGGAAAATATAAACTGTGTTGTCTTGGTTTATTGAGAGAATGAACTAACCATAAACTTTGACATGCATCACAAATGTGCTAACCATATAACCCCATTTTTTTCACTTTGCCTTTCTTTTAACCTTTTTTTTATTTAAAGGGAAAAAAAATCCGATCTCCGTATTTGTGACATCTAATCACATTTTCTTTTCAGATGGTCTTTAATTGCAAGAAGATTACCTGGGAGAACTGACAATGATGTGAAGAACTACTGGAACACAAAGCTAAGGAAGAAGCTTATGAAGATGGGAATTGATCCAGTGACTCATAAACCAGTATCACAAGTCCTCTCTGATTTGGGAAGCATCAGTGGCTTCCCAAACACCACCACCACTAACCAAATGGCTTATGTTAACAAGGATTTGATGAAGAACAACATGGCACCAACCAAAACTGAACCATCAGGTTCCAATAAGTCAGTGGTGGAGAACACACAAGAGGGTCAAGTTCACTCATGGCAACACCACATTCCTTACCAAGTCCTCACCACAGAAAATGTGCAATCTCAAGTCTTCAGTGAAACTGCATCCTCCACCTCATCCTCATCTTCTTCCAACCTCACCCAGTTAGGCTCACCACAGTCCTACTCTTGCCAAACCCCTCAGGCTCAAACTGCCCCTCATTGTTCCTCCTTTGATTGGAGTGAGTTTCTTCACAGTGACTCATTTGTGTGGTCACTGAACCCCTCAAGTCTGGTGCAAAGTGAAGCTGATCTTTCCATCAATGCCAAAACCAATGGCCATGACAAACAAGGAGTTGCAGCAGTTGAGGGTTGTTGTGGTGGAAGCATGGAATATCAAATTAAAAAGCAATGTGAAGGTCATTCATTTGTAGATGGTATTCTGGACAGGGATAGTGAGTTAAGAGCAGCATTTCCAGAACTTTTGGATGCTTCTTTTGACTACTAAGTGTCTTTTTCTGCTTATTGGTGATTAGCAGGGTTATTAAGCTCAGCACTCTCACATCACTAGGATGTAGCAAAAAGTTAAACCATTCATTATGTTTTTCCAGTTACAGATTTTGTTATGATTTACCATTTTGCAATGCTTCTTATACATGATTTAGCTCTTGTTAATCTTTTACAATGTTTTTTTAGTTTTTAACACTTTTTTAAAAGATGTGTATTTCATTTAACAAAATAAACATGTACTGAATTTTGGATGTTAATGTGTAAGGATATAATTAAGATTAATCCCTTTTAAGGTTTTGGGTTTGATATAGCTATGCCGATTTAGCATCCATGTACTAGGAAATCCTTAATATGAATAAATATTCAAAGTAGTTTTCTTTTTTTTATCATGGATCAATAGAAAATGCACTTTGTCGACTGCTAGAATGTTTGCTAGCCCACAAGAAAAAGTGAGATGAATTGAGTATTTTAATCACTGATTTGTTGAGGCAGAATAGGATATATGACCCGCATAACTAAAAAAGCAGTTGTTCATATTTTAATCTCAAAATTAAACAATTTTTTTATTTTATTTTATTAATCTTTCACTTTATGTTTGACATATTTATTTGATATAGAGATCTTAATTTTATGTATATTTAATTTATTTTAATTTTACTATCAATCATAGAATGCAACAAAGATAGAAATAAAAGAAGATTATTGTTAAAAAGTTTTAAAATTTTATCCTTAAAATCAGTTAGAAAAATCATGTTAGGTGATCTTCAAATAGATATAATGTAAAGTTAGCAAACATACCCTATATAGTGCTATACAAGACAGGATAAAATTACATAGGAATTTTGCTAAAATCATGAAGAAAAAACTCTGCTACCAATAACTATTCTAACTGTATAGATAAGAATTCAAATGCTAATAACCTTAAATCCTAAAATGAAAAACCCGAGACCTAAAAATGAGCAAGAGATATCAGTGGTTCAATTATTATGCAATCCATAAAAAGTAGCATCACCAAAAGTAGATAAGAACACTTAGTAATAAGTTTTCAGATATAGCAACTAACCCAAATGAATTAGCCTAAAATTATGGGGATAAGAACTAAACATAGAAGGCTAATTACTAAATTTGCATGAACAGGCTAAACAAAAGAGATTATTATAGCCAAAGATGAATGCTTTTCTCCACTATCCAAAACCATATTGAGAGAAGGAAAGAGAAGACACATTTTTCCATTGCAATCCAGAAAAAACTTAGATTCATATCATGAATTCATTGCAAAGATCATCGTTTTCATTTCGAAGACAAGGATCTTCTGGTAGAATATGGCAAGATCAAATACAATTCGAGGAAGCAAAAGCCAATGGTCATGCTGGTACTGCTCCATTTTCTTCGGGGAAGAACAAGATGAAGAAGAACAAGGAGGCAAATGTGCCACAAATTGAAGAAACCATAATGGGAAGAACATATCAGGAGAATTATGAAGGTGACACACATTCAAATTCTTCACCTTCTTTATCTAAATCTCAGAATAAGGTACATGGAAGTTTTTTCTCTTCCATTTGCGGATTATGTATCAGTAATTCTTCAGGTCGTGATTGATCACCCTTGTTTTTTTTATTAGGGTCATCTCTTTTGTATCAGTTTCTTGGTTTTTAATGTTGTGCAAATATGTGTCTTCTTTTTATGTTCAATGAACATTCTTTTGTTTTTCTTAATAGAATTACTATGTATTCTTTCGTTTTATGTTTGCCAATGTTCAATGCAACAAAGAAAATAAGCAATATATGCGAAAATTGCAGATGCGGTTTAAGCCGTTCGGGAAAATGATAAAGGGTTTTTTTGTTTTTTTCCCGTGTACATACACCCTTTGATTGTTTAAAAACTCTTGGTAACACGAAAATATGGGTATTGGAAAAGTAAAAAGAAAATGAACAAAAAAAGACAAGTAACTAAAATGTAACCTAATGAATAAGGACTAAAATAAACCAATTATTTGTTAATTGAAGCATGAACTATGTGAAATTATTTATGAGCTTTTTTAGGTGAGTATGAACAATGCTACAAAAGTTAAGATGTTGAGGTTTAGTGGAATCTTCGAGTTCTAATCTTGGTTTAACATTGAGTGTTGAAAATAAAGGAAAAAATAGACAGAAAGGTCATAATCAAGGCTGAGGCAGATCAAAGTCTAAAGGAAGACCATAAACAAAAGTACTAAATGATATTACTTGTTGGAATTGTCAGAAAAATGGTCACGTTACATATCAATGTTGGGCTTTAAGAAAGAACAACAACAACAACAAGAAACTAGATTATAATCAATCAGCAAATGCAGCAACAAATAAAATTTGCAGATGCCTTATTATTATGTAGTTTAGATAGTTCTATTGACTTATGGATTATGGTCTCAGGTGCGTTATTTCATACAACACCCTCTTTGGAACTATTATCTAACTATGTTTTTGGAAAGTTTGGGAAGGTTTACCTTGAAGATGGAAACGTGTGGACTTTGAATAATGTTAGACATATTCTAGCCTTAAATAGAAACTTAATATCTGTTGGACAGTTAGATGATGAGGGACAATACACCACCTTTAGAGATGGACATCGGAAGGTAATGAAAGACAATTTTGTTGTTGCTCGTGGAAAGAAGCAATAATCTCTTTACATGACTACAGATGAGGATATGATATCAGTTGCAGAAGTTGACAACAGTTCCTCTTTTTGGCATCAAAGGCTTAGGCATATGATGAGAAAGGAATGAAACTACATGATCTCGAAAGGTAAAATACCTAACTTGAAGCATGTTGACGTTGGGTCTTGTGAACATTGTATCTTTGGAAAGCAGGAAAAATGTTACCTTCTCCAAAAGAGGAAAGAGATGTCTTTCCTCTTTTATTGTCTTGTTCCTAATAGTAATAACTCATTAAACTCCTAATAAAAATTAAAGTATGATTGAGCCATCATTAGATTGATAAAAGATAAAAGTTCATCCCAATTACTATAAATAAAGATCTTACATATGACTTTAGGAGAACATGCACGTAACATCTCTTATCAATTGAGCAGTCATCTACTGAATTAGTCATCAGAATGCCTTCTGTGTATACCCTTTGAGGAGTTCTGAATGAGTGGGAGACCCAGGTGAAGGAAGGAGGACCTCAATAAGTTCTGTTTGGGCTGATACAATGCTCGGCCAGCCCTCAACAGGTCTTGTCTGAGCTGCTACAGTGCTCAATCAACCTTCAATAGAGCCTCCTGAGTTATTATAGTGTCCGACCAATCTTTTGCACAGCCCGTCCAACCTGCTCCACAACTCTTCTACCAGTGTTAACCTCAAAGCCAACTAAAGACCCCTATCCTCAAACAATTGGTATCAAAATCAAGTTCACAAGTTCCATGTCCTGAAAATTGTTCAGAGGAGGCCTAGAGACAACTTTCACATGAGCTTTAGCTAATGTCGTCTCTTTTTCCGGTAGCATTCATATGTATACCGCATTGTAACACTCACATAAAAGAACATGCACTTTTCAATTTCTTTTTGTACCACATACAACTTACTGATAGAGTCTTTAATAACCCATTAGAGTGTTATCAGTACAAATTTCCATGTAATAGCTTCCAACCAAAAAAAGCATTAACAAACTATTTAGCATTTCACCACAGTAACAAAGAGGCTAAGAAAATCTACTTGCCTAAACCCCCTTTTTGTGGTATGAACTCATTAGTAAGACTTACATTTACCAACACCTAAATGAGTAGAAATAAGAAATTAGCAAATCCAACCAATCTACTTTTTCACAAAAATCCAATCTTTCTAGCATGTAAAACAAAAAAGTTCCAAATATGCCTTTACATATAATAAAACCCTTTTTCTTTCTCTTTAAAGTTTCTTCCACCGTCTAATTAGCTACAATATTCCTTACTTTTAGAAAGGTAGTTTGACTCGAGTTAGTAAGTCTTGGAAGCGCCCTTTTAACCTCCAAGACAAGATTTTTTAGGGTGTTTTGTGCATGGAACAAACAAAAAATATTGGTTTATAATTACAAGATTGTGACAATCATGAATTTTTGGTACAAGAGAGATAACTCATCTTACATTTAAAATGACCTTATCTCATCTTGACATTCCCAAATGTTTTAACAATTTTAAAAATAATTAATGGAGACAGGGAATTTTCAAGGAACCTTCTTTATGGAGCAAGACTTTGTGATATAGAAAACACATGCATAAATTGTAGGGTATAAAAAATAATAAAAAACTGACCCACATGCCTTCCAATCAATCCACCAAAATGGACTAGACAGGGTTACCCATTTCATAGTTCTAAAGTCAATTGATTCGCTTTTGTTCTTTTTACATTGCCAAGAAAAAAAAAGTCAATTCAAATAATGGAAAAATAAATAAGAAATAAAATTAAATTAAAAATTTTTAGTTGGAAAGTATAATAAAGTTATGAAGTCGTGTTTAATTTAAATGAAATAAGATAAGAATTTCCCTTTTACCAAACAAACCCTACAAATAGGTCAAATCTAAACTGTTTGAAAAGCATGTTCGGTGTAAAAAGTCAGATTTTAAATCATTAAAAAATGTTTTATACTTATTAGGTCAAACTATTTAAGTAAATATAAATAATTTTTTTATATTATGACTAAACCAAGATATTGAAATCATACATTTACACATTTCTCTTGAAAATGTGATGAGAATGGGGTTGGGAAGTGGAAATTAATGAATTTAAAAAATTATAAAAAAAAGAACTCTATCAATTTTTTCATGCATTCCTATAACAATTTAGGATAGCATGTTAAAAAAAGGGTTAAATTGATTTAGTTTACTTTTCTTTTGTGAATATTAGATTAAAAGGACTTAGGAACCTCATCATATGGAAGAGAACGAAAAGGAAAAATAGATTAAAACCCCTTCTAACTACAACGGTGTGCCTTCCATATTTTTCAAAATCATTGTAAAAGTTAACAACTGATTTTATGTATATTTAATATTTGATAGACCAGTTGATAAGATCATAAGTAGTTTGGATTGTATTATTAAGTTCAATTTAATCTAATTTTCAATTCAATCAGATAAACTCCACTCGATTAAGTTGGATTTGTCTAATTTATTCATCAGTTTAGTTCGGAGAAAAAGTAATAAATGAAGTATAAACT